CCACGCCGCCGGCAAGCAGCAGCCGCCGCCTCCGCCTCCGCCGCCCGGGGAAGAAGCTGCAGATCCGCGGCCCCAAGCCGGCGCGGAGGCCGCGGGCTGGCCTAGCAAGCACACCCTGCGGATCCTGCAGGATTTCAGCAGCGACCCCAGCTCCAACCTCAGCTCGCATTCCTTGGAGAAGACCCCGCCGGAGCGAGGCGGAGAAGGAGCCGAGGCTTTCCCCGATCGCAACCGCAAAGCCTTGATCCCGGAGCAGAGGCTGGCCTCGAACCCGCGGAGTCGAACGCCGCCGCCGCCGCTGCCTTCCGAAGGGACCGGGCGCCGGCGGGAGCTGCGGCCGGGGGAGCCCCCTTTCGGAGCCGGGGAGGACGCAGGGGCGGCTGCCGGAGGAGGCGGAGGAGAAGTCGGCGGGTTCTATTCCAAGCTGGCGGCTCTCTTCCAGCACCCGCTCTACCAGCGGCCGCCGCCGGCGCTGGGCGACCACGATGTCCTCTTCAATGTCAACAGCGACATTCGCTTTAACCCCAAAGCGGCGGAGAATCCGGATTGGTGAGTGCGAGACGGAGAGACCCCCGGAGATGATGGGTTTGGATCGGATGGGATTTTTCAAAAGGGTTGGGGATCCAGGGCTCCCCATGACCCAGGTGGCTTGAGACCACGCTGGCTCATCTCCAGAGTAGATCTTTGCGGGGGGGGGGAGAAGAAAAATCCAATAAATAAAAATCGCTTGCTTGCTCCCTTCCTCGCCCATCTCAAGGGAAGCTTCTGGAGTAGACCCACTGAGCCCCTGACATTTACCTTCCTGGGTGGCTCCCTAGGTAGCCAGAGACTCAAGCTCAGAGGGAGCCGCTCTCTGGCAGATGGAGGCAGAGATGTCAAATTTATGAAAATGTCCATTTTTTTGGTGTTGGGGGGGGAAATGGTGTTTTCCTTGGGGGAGAGATGGAAATTTTCTGGAAATTTTTATCTCTCTCCATGGAGGTAGATGCTGTCCAGAGTAGGAAATTCCCTTGGCTGCATCAGGGGGAGAGGAAGGATGATGGGGTGCCCATGGGCGAATCCGAGAAAGGGTTTTATTATCCTGATTTTTTTTCTGGCCATCTTTAAGGGATCAGGGATTGGAAAGAGTCCCGTATTGTCTGCCTTCCTCTGGACAAAAGGGTTAAGGAGTGGGTCTTATGTAAGAGACCATGAACTGCTGTTGCCACCTATAAATGATGCTTTCCGTCCTCATCATCCTGATAACAATGGATTATTCGAAGCAAACACCTGGGGTCTAAGAGCCAGAGCTGGCCTTGCCTTCCTTGTCAGTAAGAGTTTTACCGGCATCTCTTCCTTTACCCCTAGCCACGCTTTCCAAAAAGAAAATGGGTCAATGGTGCCGGGTGTGAATTCTGCACATCTCCAAAATCAACAACAAAAAATCTGTTTCCTTGGCTGGCCTTCTTCCTTCCCCATCTTTGGCACAGCAGAGGGGGGGTTATCTCCGATGCCATTGGCTCCTGGTACCCATTCTGAATTTGGACCCCCGGCCCTAAATCAATGGGATGGGTGCCTGGCACCGACCACCTCCCCCTGCTGGGGGGCGTCTGATAGCCCAGCCTGATTTTTCTGCCCTTGCTCCCCCATGGCCATAGCAGTGTTGTCTCCCTCTGCTCCTCTTGAACTTACATCCAGTGACGCCTCCCCACCGCTCAAAAATAATAAGAGCGTTTCGCTGATCTTCATGCAGACCCCCAACCCAGGTCAATCCTCCTCCCGCCTCCCCACCGCTCAAAAATAATAAGAGTGTTTCACTGATCTTCATGCAGACCCCCAACCTAGGTCAATCCTCCTCCTCTTAGAAATGCAGAGCTGGAAGGGGCCCTGTGGATCCTGCCCCTCTCAAAGGGCCACAGTGGGGAATTGAACTCCCAGCCTCTCCCAGATGAATCAAATCAATGAGCTATCCAGCAGTTCTACTGCCTGGTTGATGGGTCCTTCTAGAGCAGCCCTGCGCTTGATGCTGTACCCCAGCACTAACAAAAAAGGATATAAATTCTATAATTGTTGACAATTCTCCCCCTTCCAAAATAAAGAGAGTTATAAATGGAACAACCTTGGCCAACAATTACTTCCTCCTTCTATAACAAGGCGATTGATCATGTATCCCAAGAGAGGAGAAGCTTAGCTTTACCCCAGGTGGGAGTCTGGCATAGATGTTCCCCATCTCTGCAGTAGAAACGAGGTGAGGGTTTAAGGTGGAGTTGCTCTATCATCCTTCCCCAGTGCTCCTACAGCAGCTCCCCCCTCCCCGAAACAAAAATGGGACAGTTTGGTTTTGCAAAACTGGCACGGAAGGATGTGCGTTTTTGCATTTCATTTAGAACTGTCTGAAAGGCCGCTCTCTCTCTCTCTCCCTCCCTTCGGCTTTCAAAATTCATCTTGATCCCTCCGTCGCATGCACCAGAGAAGGGGATGAGACACAGTATATTTAGGCACACCGTTAGAGAAGGTTGTCACGCTGTCCAATCTGATTTCAAGGGAGTCTGCGGCGTTAAGCGCATCAGAAAGACAGAGCGAGGAACGGGAAAGAGGTCTCCACCACCCTCAAAGCATCCCGTTGTCCCAACCCACATGGTAGACTTCATCCAGGTTGGGAAACTGTAATAAGAATTCTAGTTTAATTTTTAGAATATTAGAATCGTAGGGTATAACAATTAGAATATTAGAATCTTAAGAGAGGCTGTTGCTTTAATTGAAATAAAGAGAGAGGGGGAAATGCATGATTTTCTGTTACAGTATATGGTTTTGTTCATCCTTTGGAAAATCTGCAAGGGTTGTTAGAATGAAGTGTGCTAATTTTGTCTACCCAGGCAGCAGGAGGGCTAAGTACAGTGGTGCCTCGCTAGACGATTGCTTTGCTTAATGACAAATTCGCTTTACGATGATTTTTGGAGCGATTTTGCGCTTCGCTTAACAATGGTTCCTGTGGGCGATTTTCACTTGATGATGTTTGGGACCTTGCCTCGCAAGATGGCTAAATTTTGAGTCCCTGTTTCGCCTTACGATGCTTTTGACAGCTTGGGTCCCACGCTCCCTGTTTCGCTTTACGATGTTTTTGACATCTTGGGTCCCACAATTCGCTATACAATTGTTTTAAAGGTCGCTGTTTCGCAAGATGAATGTCTCCAGGGTGCAGTATGGTGCTGTAGAAAGCCCGTCCTGTCTTGTTTGGTTCTCCTGCCACCATCACTTGTGTGTAGTCTTCTCCTTGTGCTTGGCTCCGGACCCCTTTATCTCAGCTTCTTAGAGATACAGGATCACTGTCGTTTAGCTGGTTAGAAGCTTCCTCCAATGAGAAACAGAAAGATTAAGGCGAAAGCATGCTTTTCTCCCCTTTCCTCCCTTTGCTGTCATCTCTCTCTCTCTCTCTGGCACTACCATCTGCAGCCAAAAAGTCTCAGCAGTCAAGGTCTCAATATATAGTTCCTTGAAGGACTTGATTCCTTTAAAATGCTAGGCAAGTTGGCTGCACACCCTCTCTTTCCCCAGATGCAGAAGAGTGGAAGTAGCTACCAGCCCCTCCCATCTTGGCCACCGTCCTTACCCCCAAGGTTTGGTGCCCTTCTGAATCCCTATAGCCAGATGGTTTGTTACCTTTCCCATCCTGGATATGCAGTGATTTAGGCTGTTCATGCTGGAGAGTAAAGTTCCCCTGTACTCGAATTAATTTTGGAGTTAATTTCTAAACCTTTAAGAAAAAAATGCTGGAGAGTAAAGTTCCCCTGTACTCGAGTTAATTTCTAAACCTTTAAGACAAAAGTTGTGGGCCGTTCAATCCTCTCTGACTGCAACCCTTCATCGTTCTCTTTTGCTTGTTTCGTTTTTAAATTCAGTTCATCCACAAAATTCTCTTGATCTTGAGTTCTAGGGCCAGCTTCTCCACTTTGGCCCCTCTTAAACCAGCCGTACTTACGGGCTGCCCATGTGTCCAGTTTTAAAGAGGTACGCCCTGCCTCTCTGCCTTCTTCCACATGAAATGATGGCCCAGCCTTTTGGTGTTTGCAGACGGCTTTGGTTTGATGTGTTCAAACTGTCTTGCTTGCGTGTGTGTCGGAAGAGGTGGCTTGAAACGGCAGAAGCTCATCCTGAAATACATTTGTTCGTTTTAAGAATACTTTTGTATCTGAAAGAACCTCGTGAAGATGGAGAAAACGATAGACAACATAGGATAGCGTGGCTATATCTCATTCTTTCTAGGCCCTTCTCAGCTTTCCCCTTATGTCCATTCTTCATCTTATTATTAAGATGATGATTAGGCATATCGTTATGGTCACAGTTGGATGTGCTCTGTCCTGACCCTACCTGGAGATTCCACGGATTGAATCTGGCACTTCTACTGTGATTCAGTGGAGCATCCTTATTTCAGCCCTTTCCTCCTGAACTACTGGGGATCCGAAAAAACAGGTGAGGTAGGCACTTTTTGAAACCTCTCCCTTTAGCCTCCAGACATTTTTAAATTCCCCTCATGGCCATGAAAAGGAGCAAAGGATACCTGTCTTTTCTAATGTAGTTTGTGATACATAATATGTGTGGCAGTTTTCTTTCACACTTCAGATGGCTAAGGAATCCTAATATCTGAGCTAAGCGATGTGCTTTATTTATCAGTGTCTTCCTTGTTAATATCCAACTCCTGATGTACAGCTTCCTCACCATCTAAAACATATAATCTGACTCCCTGTCTAGCTACCAGACTTCTCCCAAACTTAGGACCCCCCTTCCTTCCCACCATCTAAAACATATAATGTGACTCCATGTCTAGCTACCAGACTTCTCCCAATCTTAGGACCCCCCTTCCTTCCTTCCTTCCTTCCTTCCTTCCTTCCACTGACTGGCATACTTAGAGATGATGGCAAGTTGAGAATGCCCAACAGCCTCTAGAGATGGAAGGCTAGGAAAATCTGAACAGACGTTTCAAAAGGAATGTCCTGAATAGAAATTAAGAGCTTCTGAGAGAGAACTTGGGACATTTGGTGAGTGGTACATTTTAGACCCCCAGTGTGGGGTAGTGGGTAGAGCGATGGAATAGGATTCAGGAGGCCCTGATTCAAATCCCTGCTTAGCCATGGAAACTCCCTGAACAGGCAAAACCACTCCTTAAATATCTCACTTACTTGAAAGCCCTGTTAGGTCGCTATAAACCAGTTCTGTCTTGGTGGAAGGTCTTCTTGGATTGTGTATTCCTCCATCAATGAGCTAGTGTAGTGGAGGGGTGCATGGCTCACTTCCATATGTAATTCTTGAACATACAGGAACTCATACACAGTGTCTCGACCTGAACATTCTAGTCCAGCCTTCCTGAAGGTGGCACCTTCCAGATATTGTACTATACAGTGGTTTCTCGCTTAACGAGCGCACCATAGAACGACAAATCCGCATAGCGAGGGGGTTTTTTCGATTGCAACTGCGATCGCAAAGCGATGGCCCCAATGGGCGAAACTCGCATACCGAAGGTCGGTAAGCATTTCGCTTACCGACCTTCGCTTTGCGACCCGCGGATCAGCTGT